TATTTTCATAATTTTATTTGCGTATAAAAATTAATATTCGTTTGCTTTGAACCAAAAAATATTAAATAATCTGTTGATTAAATTTTACTTTTTATATATTATATTGCAACACATATACTAACAAGGTCCTTCTCAAGGCTATCATAATACCTATATATAACAAAATCTCAGGGATCGAAACCGGTTTCTGACAAATTGGTTAAAATTGGTTAGAACCACGGTTTTTTCAATATTGAGCACCGTAACAGTAACTGACACCAAAAGTTTCAAAACACCAGTTAAAAAACCGTAACTGAAAACCAAGATCTTCAAAAAACCGTTTACAAAACCTAAACCGAAATCATAGAATTGAAAACCGTTCTTGATCCGCTCTTGAAAAACCGATTAAAATTTAAAACTAATATCGGTTTCTTCGAATTTTATAAAGTTAATTCCATTATTTATAATTCTAGTTAAATCGAGTATTTCCTACGAAGAAAATAATATAATGTTTAAATTTATCAATTAAACTCCCGATGCTATTAGTTACTCAGTATTACGAAATATTAATTGATAATACGATTATTGTTCTATTTATATTTTATAATATTAATTTATAACTATATTTATTGGTTCAATATTAAATTCAAATATGACAATTATTGTTATCTTGTTTGCCCCAATGCGGCACGTCTGTGTTGTTTCCATTTGTTAGTAATAGCTTATGAGTAATAATAGAAAAAGTATAAAATAAAATATTACATTTTAAAATTTAAAAATGGTTCACGTGCCTAAAGTTTGTACACACCAAATGGCAAATAAAACATAATAAATATAGTAATAATATTGTAACATACCTATTCAATTATACCATTGATTATAAATACTATAGATGGCTCACTGGTCGGTTTTTCGGTGGCGCGATAATAACATAGAACAGTAGGTTATAATAATCGGGTGCCKCTAGAGGGCACTGCGGACGCTTGGATAGTTAGATCGGATAACGTTGTAAACGCTAGTTGTCACGTCGTCTGGCAGGTGTAGGCATACTGCATAGCGTATTCAGGAGAGGCGCATCAGTTCATAATCGACTCCCAATATTATAACTATTATATTAATTTTACATTAGTTCGATCATTATAGTAATACCGTAGGTCGTAGAGTATACGTTCGACATTCGTTTACTCGAGATCCGTTGGGTCGTCACTGGTTTACAGGTTTTCCAATACAATGATACAGTATAGGTAATAACCAATAGGTTATCAAAATTGACAGTAATTGACATTATATATTTTAACTGTATTACTTTTTAAATAATAGCTAAATGATAAAGGTGACTAATAATAAACTTAAAATAATAAAATTTCCACTGATTGTCTGCCTAAACAAATTAACTAATAATTGTTGTAATAAATATTCAGTATGATATTATAATTAACAATCTAAATAGAAGTTCTTCTAGGATAAAAAAAAAAAAAACATAAAAACTTGAATTTAATAAAAAATTATTAATTGACAACATTTTATAATATTATACATCACAAAAGTCAAAAATAACAAATTATTTATGATAATTACTTATTTTGAAAAACGCGTAATTTTGCAATATTTTGGGCATGTTTTTTAAAATTGTTTAAAAATCAAAGTTCGAAAAAGTAGCTCAATGAAATACAAATAATGATTGTAGCATGTTGAGTTTTGTAAATCGGAATACCTGATATTGATTTTCTGAAGCGCTTTTTTCTTTTAGTTGGCCTAAGACATTTTTTTCAGTTTTAATGTGTGTGTGTGTACTTTGTTGAAAAAATATCAAAACACATTTTTGAAATATTTATAAGTTTTTCCGATGGTGCTTTGAGACCCTGCATTTGCCCAACGTGGTCGTACGTCTTGTACATAACTAAAAGCTGTTGTTCGTTGTTCAATTCATGATTTGGTCTTATTAAATGTGATTGGCAATCTGTGCACATAAATTTAACTAAACATTTTTTCGTCAAGTATCCGGAAAAATAAACTTCTGAACAAGTTTCTAAAAGAGATTTATTTTGACTTGCAAACGAAGAGTCTGTAGAATCAGCATCTATATCTGTAGTTTCACTTTCTACGTCTTCAGGTGGTTTAACTATTTCCATTTGAGTATCTACTTAAATATCTTTTAATACATCGACGTTTATAAACTCATTAGTATCCGGCTCACAGTTAGTTGTTGTAGAACATTTCATTAAACTGAATGAATAAATATGTCCAAAACAGCAACGAAAGGTTCTCACTGTAGGATTTTTATTGTATCTGTAAAAATATAGATTATACCATTGATTATAAAATCAATGACTATACTTAGCCTAAAATATATACTGAACAGTTTAAATTGAAATGTGTGCGTACAAAATTTAGGTAAAATATGTTAAAATAGTGTAGGTACATAAAAAACTGTTCATTATAAATTAAAACCATACAATTTAACGAAAATTGGATTTGTCATGAAATACGAGTAAGAAGTAAGAACATTTTTTTGGAATGGTTGGAAATTAGTATTTAGAATAAAAAAATTCTGAAATCATTGAAATAATTGTTAACATACCCATGTTTCTGACGCATTATTGAAAAAAAATTTTCCAAAGCATCTTAAGTTAGCCTATTTGTTAGTAAAAAGAATTCTTTTTCCGGTTGATGACTAATCATATCCAATTTTTCTGAACTATAAAGTTCGAAATACGCAGTTATGGTCCAAACAATTCCTGTGAAACAAGGAGGTGTACTATTTTTTTTTGTTTTGTTACATATCTTCTCTGTTTTTTTAAAAATGGACCGAGATTTTTCTGAATTTGAAAAATAGTTGAATTTTTTTCACACATTGGTTTTCTATTTGGATTTGGTTCAAATAAATTTTTACTGTTACATGAATCGAACATATCATTGACTATGTCAATAAATTCAGCTGTATTAATTGCAGTATTTGACTYAAGTTCCCCAGTCGATACGCATGTTTTAATTGCTGCAGAAACTGATTTGCTTAAAAGTTGTACGGCTAATTTACAGGACATTTTTTGAAACGDATTTGGAGACAAGTGTGTTTAGCTGTGATAGCCAGTTTAAATAAATATGGTTGTATCCTAACTATTTCACTGGTAATTAATAATTAATACTTGAATGTAGTGCAAAATATAGAAATAAAACAAACAATATTTTATTAGTGGACTGTATAAATTTATTGCATATAAGTAGGAAAATATGATGTACACGAGAACACCTAACCGAATAATGCACGGTTTACAAATTGCGTTACATTAGCGTGGCGTGAAAAGGCTCGGTAACGACACACGTACGCTTACTGGTCTTAACGGTAAACGGTTCGTGAGCGAACGCGACGATGGCCCGCCGACAACGTCGGCGCATGCGTAACCGGCACCGGTTTATAACTCGAATTTGAAATGACTAGCGCCCTCTAGTCGGACTTGGTCCGAAAATCTTCCCCCGCTTTGAAAGGATGCTTTCAAAGTAGACATTTCTCGGTCAGACCGTATCACTGTGCGTTTACATGTTATAACAATATATATACTAAAATTCATATAAAAAGATAACAGAAATAGTAATGAACGAACAAAAAAAAATATATGTACATTTTGGGAAATGACGGAAGATGGAACAAGGAAGGAAAGTTAGTTAAGCGTTGTCAGTAGGTAGTTTGACCAACTTTACGACCGGGCATTTCAGTATCCCTTCCACTGTCTTGAAGGTGGCTACACGAACCACCTGGTCAGCAGCAGGGTGGACGTCGATGACTCGACCAAGTTGCCTCATCAACGGAGGTCGAGAAGGTGAATTTATGACGATGACATCTCCGACACCGAGACTGGGATTTTGATGGAACCATTTTTTTCTACTTTGCAACGTATGGAGATACTCCCGAATCCATCGTTTCCAGAAGGACTGAAGAGTGAAGGGCTTGTCTAACTAATTGCCACCGCTTGAGGCGATTCTGAGGAATATCACTGATATCATGTTCGGGAATCGCCAGTATAGGTTTTCCGATCAGAAAATGTCCTGGCGTTAGCACAGATAAATCGTTCGGATCGATCGACATGGTGACTAATTGCCGAGAATTGAGTACACCTTCAATACGTGTGATTACTGTCATTAACTCTTCCAAAGTATACACCTGATTACCTACTACCTTTTTTAGATGTAACTTGGTACTCTTGATAGCAGCCTCTCCAATACCGCCAAAGTGCGGAGCTGCAGGCGGGTTGAACCTCCATTGACATGGAACTCAGGCATGAAGTGCTTCCTTCGTTGCTGCATCGTGGAATAATGTCTTGAGTTGTTTCGCTGCGCCAACGTAATTAGTTCCACAGTCGGAATAAATCTGCACCGGAATCCCTCGTCGAGCTACAAATCGATCGAAAGACGCTAGGAATGCCTCTGTCGTCAAATCTGTGACAACCTTCAGGTGCACAGCCTTGGTAGATAGGCATACGAATAACCCAAGATATGCCTTGTGCGTCTTTGAGTTACGGCGTTGACTCTCCTTAATGGTGAACGTACCTCCGTAATCCATTCCCACGTTGGCAAATGGTCGGCATTGTTGGACCCTTGTTGATGGTAAATCCACGATAAATAGTTGGGGTGCTGCGGCCTTGTATCTAATACACACTGTACACTTGAATATTATTTGACGAATGGCAGCGCGAATCGAGACGATCCAGAAACGGCGTTGAATTAACGAAGCTATTAAGCGCGTTCCACCATGTAAAGTATTATGATGGTAATGATGGACAATAAGCTGAGCAAGGTGAGACGATTTCGACAACAAAATAGGGTGTTTGGCGTCGGTGCTCAAGTCAGAATGCTGCAAACGACCGCCTACTCTAATGATACCATGAGCGTCGACGAAGGGTGCAAGCTGAGCGATGGAACTCTGGGTGACGATAGAATTTGACGTTACTAGTTGGTGGTACAAATCTGAATAATATAACCTTTGTGTATACATTGTTACCTTCATCAATACTCTCTCGTACTCTTGCCAAGTGATTGGTCCACTCACAACCGTGCGTTGTCGAGCCTTGTCAGCGAACCACAGGCAGTATGCTAACACCCATTGCATCTTGCGCAGCACGGAAAAACGTTGGATCAAGCTAGCATCAACCTGTCGGGTTAAAAGTACATTTTTTGATGGGCGTTTATATTCAGGAAGCTCTTCAGGATTTATACTTGATGTAGTTACCACCGGCCATTGAAATTCCGGGTAATGAAGGAATTTCGGTCCATGTAAAAATGATTACGCTACCAAAGCATCTGGTAGCAACCCTCGTGATGCCGGGTCAGCTGGATTTTCCGAAGTACCATCGTGTGCCCATTCGCACTGGGGCACGAGGTCTCGTATTTTAAATACACGGTTAGTGACGAATATTTTAAATAGCCTCTGTTCGGCTGTGAGCCAAGATAAAACAATGGTTGAATCTGTCCATGCCCGGACACGCGTAATCATGACTTTGTCCCTTAAGGTTTTCAAACGTAGAGACAGTAGACGCGACAACAGGAGCGCGGCACAAAGCTCCAACCGAGGTATGATTAACGACATATCCTCTGATGATGACTTCAGTGGTGCAACCTTTGTTTTACACGCTAGAAAATACACTCTGACATTACTATCCTGATCTACCACTCGCAAATACACTGTTGTTGCGTATCCAACCTGAGACGCGTCAGCGAATCCTAATAATTGTATATCTTGACTATTAACTACTGCAACGTGTCGTGGCAACGACAAGCATGCTAAGTCAGAAAGTTTGTCGATGAAACTTTGCCACATCGACGTCAGACCTATCCCAATCTAATTTATCCATCCATAATTTCTGCATTAAACACTTCACCCAGAAAAACATCGAACCCAACGCGCCGATTGGATCATAAAAACGAGCAACAGTTGATAATACTGACCGTTTTGTAGGATTAACTTGATCTATCATCGAATGACAGCCGAATGTGTCAAGTACAGGGTCCCAATGAACTCCTAAAACCTTGACTGCCTGTTCCTTGGTTGGCTCTATCCACGGTGTCACAGCCAGCCCGGTCTTCAATTTCGATAGTGTTCAAGATCTCGGGACAATTGCTAGCCCATTTTTTCAGGCTAAATCCACCTCGATTTAGCAAGCCCATGATTTGAATTTTTGCCTCTAAAATGTCTTCCAAAGTGTCAGCGCCAACAAAAATATCATCCACATATGTGTCAGCTAATAGGACATCCTTGACGAGCGAAAAATCAGGTCCATCCTCCAGATTGAGCTGTTGAAGGCATCAAATCGCTAAAAACGGAGCCGAGCTTACACCATATGTGACTGTACACAACTCATATTCCTGCACTTTGTCACTAGGCGAATATTGCGCTATACTATGTGCTGATAAACTCTATCTTGTTCATGTAGACATATTTTCCGATACATTTTAGTTATGTCGGCAGTAAAAACAAATAAAAAGCGCAACAAGACATCACCGATTTCAGTCTGAAGCTTTGGTCCAGTCACCAAGCAGTCTTTTAATGAGACTCCGGATGAAGACGTAGCTGAGGCGTCGAACACCACACGAATCTTCAATTCTTCATTACAACGTTTGACTACTGGGTGATGTGGTATGAAATATTTGCCTGGCTCAGTCGCTACCTTCATGTGTCCTAACGCTCTATAATCATCCATGAAGGCCCGGTAGGCAGTATACAATGCTGAATCCTTCTCAAGACGACGTTCTAAATTATACAAAATCGGTTAAGAGCTGAAGTTCTGGATGACCCTAAAACGACCGACTTCTTATCTTGACATCCGATGTCAGTTGTATCTGGGGAACATACTATCGTTCGAAATGGTAAACCAACATAAAATCGACCGGTGGCGTCTCGTTTCGTGGTTCTAACAAACCAACCTTCACATTGCTTGTCTTGTGTAGCTGGCATCGTACACTCTGTGGGCTCCTCTACTGTCCAAAAACGCTGCATCAACTCTTGTTGCCGCGACACATTGTTGTTTTGACTATTATGCGATATGCAATATAGGACGGCGGCGACGATCAGTCTTTATCTCTCTCCCTCTTCCTCGTCCTCATCTAACCGTTACTCGTTAGGTATGTGATTTATAATCACCTTTATAAAATATTAATTATTATCGTTGTCGCCATATCGTCTTTGTTTTTATATCATCTGTTTTAATGTTTGTTGTGATTACGCGGCCAACGCCTTTGTTATTATTCTTAAATTTTTTTTTTTTTTGTTACCAATAAGTGTTGTTATACTCATCTACGTACCTATTACTTATTTTTTAATTGTAAAAAAAAGTGCTGTATAATTGGTCCGTGTGGTCGTGTTAATCGTTTTTCTGCTATTGGAGCAACGCGGAATTGTCTGTTTGTTGCCACTGCGGCAATACATGTATATTACATTTTCACCTGTTTATTATATAATAATATCACATATTTATCAAATTATCGCCGACCGAGTCAGTACGACACGGAACCGTTGCATCGTGTTTATTATTATAATAAAGCACCATCATTACCAACATTTACGTGAGTTTTATTGTATTTGTGGTTGTGTATTACTGTCGAGTACTCGTCGACACCAGCTAGTCATTGAGACATCGCTGGACGGGGCTCTTCCATCGCCGAGAYCGGGGTTGGTGCCATCATTGATTGCGTAAGACCGCCAGCACCCTCCGTGGTGTGTGAGAGGTCGCTAGGGTCTTCGAGTTCATTCGCCGTCGGCTGTCGTTCATTGCAGCCATCACCCACATCGTCATCATAATCGTAGGTTTAAGTTTAGATTTTAAGTATTTGGCCGATTTATGTGAGCTTGGTGGTCATTGCACCAGACCGATTCCGACCACCAAGACATCCCCCCTGTACATTAACTAAACTCATCTTCCTTATTCCCGTGCATAAATTTAACTTCCTTGGTCCAGTAATTTTAAGTCTTTGGTCCCCTCCTATCGTCGTCGTCGTCGTCTGGTTGCCTACCCGGTCACTTTAAGGCAGTGCACATTGAGTTGCATACCCCGTCGACTATAAGGCAGTGCACATTAAGTTGCCCATGTCAACCATCCCAGGAGAACGTCATCACAACCTATAAYATTTACATATCACTCATATCAGTTACATTTCATCGTAGCAAGCCCAAGTGGCATCAACTCTTCAATCGGAGAGGTTGTACTAATTGACAGGGATGTAAGAAGAGTATGTGTATTATTTTTTTGTAACGCGCCAATTATGACCCAACCTAATGTATTCATCGCTGATGGTAAGCCCTCGGTATGTATAACGTCAGCTCTAGATTGAATGACGGACGGATATAAGTCTTCTCCAATCAACATATCTACTGGCACCGGGTGATCAAATCGGGGGTCGGCAAAGACAAGATGCCGATAGCAATCTCGTATCTCAGCTGGCAAAACCCTGTTAGGCATTGATGACATAATTCGAGGTAAAACTATGACATTTGTTACTTGAAACACTGGAACGTCGGATTGTACAGAAAAAAAATTAAAATTAGTTTGACCTTTAACAGTATTGACCGGTTGTTTGGAAAGTCCGATGACCTCAACAGGAAACTTCCTACGGGTCAAACCTAACCGGTTGACACAATCCACTGTCATTGCAGACACCTGCGACCCACTGTCTAATACTGCCCTGACTTCTTGTAGAACTCCTGTATTGTCCCAAACCCTGACTACAACAGTACCCAACAAAACAGTGGTTTCAGTATGTGTAACTCCCGAAAACTGTGTTGCATTACAACTTGTGGTGGCTCGTTCGGAGTTGTCATTTGTCTTATCGGTGCTCGATTTTGTAGTATCATCTGTCAAATGTAGTAATGTACTATGCTTACTCGAACACGTACGACACGTAAAAGACGTAGGACACGCATTGCTCATATGCCCACTATTCAAACAAATAAAACATAATTGATTTTTATTGACAAAATCACGACGACTGGTAATTGCTAGTTTTCGGAATCCAAAACACTTGTAAATTGCATGTGGGTGTCCACAAAACAAACACTTTTTTGACTTGGTGGGGGCAACCGCGGCTAACGATGTCTTCTCAGACCTCTTGCCCTGGATCTTCTTAGTAGTTGTCTTCCCTACGGTCTTTTCATTATTTTCCACACAATTAATGCTCAAACTGCTGCCAACGTTTTCCAAAACGTTACATCGTTGTGATGCGAACTCTAATAATGAGTTCAAATCAGGTATTTCATTTTTCGCAACAGTAGCCTCAAATAATCGTCGTGTCATGGGATCAATAACGTGTGAACCAATGTAGAACAGTATAAAACCAGCCAAGTCTCCGACTCCAAGAGCTTGTACAGCTGATACATTTTCCCGAAAGGTGTTGACGAATAATGAAAGTGATGCAGGGGATTCCTTTGTTAACGGCGCGAATGTAAATAATTTTTCAATGTGGGCAGTGACCAATAAGCGTTTATTGTCATATCGATTTTTAAGCGCGTTCCAAGCAATAGAATAATAATTGTCAACTGTAAGTGGCACTGCTTTTACTATTGTTAACGCTGGACCTAATAAGTAAAACAATAGGTAATGGAAACGCTCAATATCTTCGTAATGTTTGTTGTCATGCACCAAAGATGTAAACATATCACGGAAGGATCACCATTCAATAATATTACCATCAAATTTAGGAATCTCAATTCTTGGTAAAATCAATGATTGCGCAGAAGACTGATTCCTATCATTGCACGGAGTGGGCATCGAAGTATTCTGTTTTAATTTTGCTACAATGGCATTGATCTGGTTACACATCGATTGCATCGTTTCGGTGACGTTCTCATCCACCTTCACGAACTGGCCAACTTCATCGGTCCCCGCGAGTGTTGAAAGAATATGTTTTTGTTCATTATTGAAATCAGTGACAAGTTGACCTAATGACATAACTCGCGCTTCTAATGTGGGACGATTTTCAGAATTGATTACCGCATCCTTAGCAATTTACTTAATATTTTATTAATTGATCGTAACGCGACGTCTCTTGCGGCACGCGCGAGCGTTAGCTCGATCCTTTTTTGTTCATTGTGGATTTGTTGCTGGTTTTTTCTCGTCATCGTATAAGTGATGTAGTACCTAAACACCTAACAACGCAAAACCAACAACCAAGAAAAGAAACACAAAGATTCTAATAGGATAAAGAAATAATAATAATATATGGCAGCAAATAATGCAATAATTAATACATATTATAATAGGTACTGTTTGTGCAAACGAGCCTTTTAACAAGGTTGTCGTCGGTCACACGGTCCTCCGGAGCCTGGTGGGAAATAGGTAACACCTTGTAATAATAACTGACAGTGATTTTATAGTTACAACACAATCGATATATTTTACATATATATAATAAACAACAAAATAAGGGGACGGGGAACACCGCTCTGAGGGAGCACTCAATGTCGGGCGGAACTGCCAGTGACTTCG